CTTTCGGTTGGCTCTTAGGACTTTAACTTTTTTGGTTTCTATATGAACTATAATAAGGGAGCTAAAAGTTTATCTTCTAGGAGGGTTTCAGAAGTCAGGCAAGTTATTGTTGGGTCCTTTGGACCCTTAGGATAATGAATGGTGCCAAGAGCAAGCAAACCCTAAACCCTAAACCCTGAAGCCGAAACCCTAAACCCTAAACCCTAAACCCTAAACCCTAAACCCTAAACCCTAAACCCTAAAAACCTAAACGTTCATCGCCATCGGAGCAGTACTCATCCTTGAAGTTTGGATGACTCCATCGTGATCCACTCGCCTGGCACTCCCAAAGTTAGTGGCTGAGTAGGTAACCAGAGGGTCGAAGTACCCAAATAGTCGGGTTTTAGGTCCCAAATTCCATATCCTGAATGGTTTTTGGCACCTGAAACCCTACTATTTGAGTACCCGGACCCTTAGGGGTAACCTTTATCCTTTTGGGGCTTATATAATCCTACTAAAATTCAAAAGGTCAATGTTTTTGAGCTAGGGTACTCAGCCGCTACGCAAACATGGTATCCCAAATATCCCAGAGGCTCCATATATACTACCATTATGGAATTGGGTCCCCAAAGACCATCCTCACTATGGTTATGGGGACTTTATTCCATAATAGTAGTATATATGGAGCCTCTCAGTAGGTAACCTTTAACCTTCTGGGGCTTACATAATAATCCTACTATAACTCAAAAGGTTAAGCTGTTTGGGCTAGGGTATTCAGCCCCAACGCAAAAATGGTATCACAAATATCCCAGAAGCTGCATATATATATATATATATATATATGTGACCATTCTGGATTTGCATCGTTATTATTGTTCTGAGGGCGTAATTCCATAATAGTAGTAGTTATGGAGCCTCTGATTAGGGTATGCGCATGGGTACAAACACTTCAAGTAGCCATAGATTTAAAGCACAAGTCGAGGGTCAAGCCCCTTCCTCAAGCCTTAGCCCAAGGGTCCATGTGCCCAAATAGTCTCGGGTTTCGGGTATATACTGTGGCCTCAAAGTACGTACATGGGAGTTTCCGAAAATAAAGGGTACCTTATTTGGGGGTCCTCATAGTAGGCATCCTACTATTTGGGGTACTATGTTGGGGTCCCCTATATAGGGACTACTTTTCAGGCCAATGTATATACTACCTGAGCACATGGACCCGTAGGGTTAGCCTCAAGCTGGATTCCCCAGGACGAGTGAGGTGCCAGCTGCACATCCTGACAGATTCGGACCTCTGACACAAGCTGCAGAAAAAAAAGCCGTGGCAGTGGCAAGACTGGGCGATGGGAGCATGGGATTGGGCTATTCAGCGATCGATATTGCAACCATTAAACGACTCTTCACTGCTCGGTTTAGGGTTTAGGGTTTATTTAGATTACTTAAGGCTCCTATAATAATTAATTCATTTTACCTGGATTTCACTCTCCACCCAAAGTCATTAATGTTAATGATACTCCTCAAGTTATGGGACCCATCCTGTGTAAGGGACCTTTAGTGAAGGGATCGTGGAGTCTTTGCTTCCTTACATCCCAAACCCTGCAACAACTCGAACCCCCCCCCCCCCCGGTGCAATCCAGTGCGATGTCCCTAATCCCCATTTCCCGCAAATACGGACATTGGTTGTAAGATGTGGCAATGTCCCTTGACGCCTCGAATAGCCTTTTACAGCCTTGTTCATGACGGTCTAAACACCCTATCAAAGACCTTGCAATTGTAACACTGGTAGCTGTAGTTTATAACACTGACAGCCATGAACAAAGAAGCCATGGTCGCATGGCCCTGAAACACTACTAGTAAGCCTAGTAGCACTACTAATTGCAGCGACAGGAAGAATGAAATTAAGAATCGGAAGAACGATTACAACGCTGATAATCATAATCCTGGTAGTAGTCACACTACAGATATTACCGCTACAAGCTGCGACTAATCATAATTTCATAATGAATATTGGCAACATGACTAATCACTTCCTGAAAAGCCCTCAGACCTGAACCTAACAGTTGAAGCCTTGAACACTATAAGCCCTCAACCTCCAACTCTAGCCAAGAAGGAGCTACGCCCTCGGAACCCTGAACCCCAAGCCCCCCTGTACCAAAACACCAGCCCGATAACAAAGGACTCTAAACCCGAAGCCCCGTGCCCTACAGCCTAAACCCGAGACCCGAAGCAACAAGTTCAAGAAGAAGACCGACAAACCTGAAACCTTCCAAACAAGCAAGGAAAACAAGGACATGATAACAAATTTGACTTAAACCCGAAGCCCTCAGGAAGGAGAGGCCGAAACGAAAAGACATGCTGTTATTGGTATAGTTACTATTCTGATTGTCATTTCCAGAAGAATTATGATTCTAGAACCCTAAACCCTAACACCTCTAAACCCTAAACC